TGTAAAATAAATGACTGCATTCATTTTGATGGGTCAAAGATAAATGACGTCTCACGTTACATTTCATTAAATTCAATGCACGTTTATTCAGTCCAGAAAAATGAAGAATCCGTTTTAATTGATGAATATATCTCAGCATCTGTTCATCTACACGCGCGTCTCCCTCCACGGCTGTGCCTGTGTCGGACAATATCAGGATGTGTTTAATCAACACAAGGTCTGTTTCCAACAAGACGTTTATCCTCAATGACTTTTTTAAAGATGAGGAGTTGGATTTTCTGTTCGTCACAGAATCTTGGATTTCTGATGGTGAGTCCAGCGCCTTGGTGGAACTACTACCCCCGGACTGTCTGTGTCTCAATGCCCCGCGGCCATCAGGTCGGCGGGGGGCGGGGGGGGGTTTAACAGTTTTTAAAGCAAACTTGGACTGTAAACAGTTGTCCGTCCCGGTGTCCCGCGCCAGCTTTGAGCTAAGCGTCTTTGAACTTGGACACTCTCCTCCGGTTCTGTGCGCACACGTCTACCGCCCCCCTCGTTCCAAGGACTTCATAAATGAATTCTCTGACTTTCTGGCTGATATCACACAGAGATACACTCACTTTTTGTTTATTGGTGACTTTAATTTGCATGTGTGTTGTCAGGAGAAGCCCTTAGTGAAGGACTTTCTAGATTTACTGGACTCTTTTGGCTTAGCTCAGCAGGTAAATGGTCCCACCCAAGAACACGGTCACACGCTGCACCTCGTTTTAACACGCGATGTCTCTGTTTCTAATTTGAAAATCGGTGACAATGTTTTTTCAGATCACATGCCTGTATTGTTTGACTTCACCCCCCCCCTGTCCTACTGCTAAGACGTGCGTTCCTGCACGTACGCGTTCCATTAACCGTTTCACTGCTGCTAGTTTTAATGAAGGTTTTAACTCTGAGAGGATCGAACAGTTCCCGGTGTCTCTTATCACTGAGGAGCTAACCTCTCAGTTCAACTCTGCCTGTTTAAATGTTCTGGACCGTGTTCCTCCCCTTAAAACCAGAAAAACGAAACTTAGATCAGAGCCTTGGCTGAATGATGTCACTCGAGCCATTAGGCAGCAGTGTCGCAGAGCTGAAAGAAGGTGGAGGAAGGACAGGCTGCAGGTTTCTTTTCAAATGTTAAGGGAGAGTTGGCGTCACTATCAGAAAACCGTTAAAGCTGCCAAATGTAAATTCTTCTCTGATTTAATTGTCTCCAACTCCCACAACCCCCGAGTTCTTTTCTCCACCCTGAACTCAGTTCTACACCTCAGTGAGCCTTCACCTGTGGAAGCCTCAACTGAGCTGTGTGAAAACTTCCTCCATTTCTTTTTAGAAAAAGTGGCAAACACCCGGGCACTCATTTCTCCACCAGCTCATGATCTGTCCATCCTATCTCAGTGTGTGGCTGTGTTTGACCACTTTGAGCCCATCTCTCTGTCCTCTCTGGAGCAGGTAATGTGCAGCATGAAGCCATCTGGTTCCCCCTTTGATGTGGTCCCCCCTCGACTACTAAAGGAAGTTTTTCCTACCCTGGGTCCTTTTATTCTCGCTATTCTGAATAGCAGTTTATCCTCAGGTGTGGTGCCAAAAACTTTTAAACATGCTGCTGTCCAGCCCCTCCTGAAAAAATCTAACCTTGACCCCTCAGTCATGTCCAACTTCCGGCCTGTCTCCAGACTCCCATTCACCTCTAAACTACTGGAAAAAATTGTGGAGTCTCAGCTGAAACAGTTTTTGGAGGATCACGCAATCCTAGAGTTATTCCAATCTGGCTTCAAATCTCTCCATAGCACTGAAACTGCTCTACTGAAGGTTTTTAATGACATTTTCATATCCACAGACGCAGGTGATTCTGTGCTGCTTGTTCTATTGGACCTGACATCTGCTTTTGACACCATCGACCACAAGATCCTCATTTCTAGACTGGAGCAGTGGGTGGGCATCACAGGGTCAGCCCTTAAATGGTTTGGGTCCTACCTATCTGACAGAACCTTCTGTGTCAATATCAAAGATTTTAGTTCGACATCGACAGCGCTCCAGTGGGGGGTTCCGCAGGGGTCCATCCTCAGTCCCCTTCTCTTTTCTTTATACCTGCTGCCACTAGGTACTATTTTTCCGCAAACACAACATACCCTTTCATTTCTACGCCGATGACTTTGTATTCTTCTGCCCCTGTCCTCCATACCCCCAACCCAGATGTACCATTTATCGTTGAGGTAGACGTGTCTAGTGTGGGTGTAGGGGCAGTGCTTAGCCAACAAAATAAGGAAAGAGTTATTCATCCCTGTGCTTTCTTCTCCAGAAGCCTATCGCCAGCTGAGCGAAATTACGATGTCGGGGAACGGGAACTGCTCGCTGTTAAGCTGGCGCTGGATGAGTGGAGGCACTGGTTTGAGGGCGCCCAGTTCCAATTCCAGGTTTGGACCGACCATAAGAACCTCGAGTACCTTAAGTCGGCCAGACGCCTCAACCCTCGACAAGCCAGGTGGGCACTTTTCTTTTCCCGTTTTAACTTTGCCCTCACCTATAGACCCGGTCACAAGAACACAAAACATGATGCCCCCTCTCGCATCATGGAGGAGGATTCTTGTTCCTCGACTCCTCTTGCCGGGGAATTTATCCTTCTAAACTCTCCCCGCCTGGCTGTCACTCAACTGGAGCTGGACCTACGACAGGCCAACCGGTTGCACCCTCCTCAAACCGCCTGTCCCCCTGACCGATTATTTGTACCCCCTGAGTTTGTCCAGGAGGTCCTCAAGTTTTACCACAGCTCCCACCTAGTTTGTAATCCTGGTTTTTCTAAGACTATTTCCTTAGTTCGGGCACAGTTTTGGTGGCCCACATTAAACCAGGACGTGCGCTCTTTTGTGTTATCCTGTCCTGCCTGTTCCCAAGCCAAGTCCTCACGTCGTCCCCCCTCTGGTCTCCTCCGTCCACTTCCTATCCCGTCATGCCCATGGTCCCACATCAGTCTAGATTTCATTACTGGTCTTCCTCCCTCTGCCGGCAACACCGTCATCCTGACGGTTGTTGACCGTTTATCCAAGATGGTTCACCTGGTCCCTCTTTCCAAGCTTCCCTCAGCCAAGACCCTGGCTGGGATCATGTCACGTGAGGTCTTTCGCCTGCACAGTCTGCCCACAGATATCATTTCTGACAGAGGACCTCAGTTTGTCTCCAAGTTCTGGAGAGAATTTTGCAACCTCCTTGGGGTCTCCATTAGTCTCTCCTCTGACTTTCATCCCCAGACTGATGGCCAGACGGAGAGAGCGAACCAGGATGTTGAGGCCAAGCTGTGGATCTTCTGTCAGAAAGATCTCAGCCAGTGGTCCTCCAACCTCTCTTGTGTCGAACACGGCCTCAACACTGTCCCTTCCTCTGCTACCAGTCTGTCCCCTTTTTACACGGCTTTTGGTTTTTAGCCGCCTTTAATCACCACCCAGGAACGTGAAGCTCAAGTGCCCTCTGCTCAACAGTCAGCCTTACGCTGCCAATGCATATGGCAGAGAGCCAGATGAGCCCTCCTGGAGACCTCCGCAGCCTACATTAAAGGGACTAACCGGTGGAGGTCTAAACAACCCACTTATCAGGAGGGCCAGAAGGTATGGCTCTCCACCAGAGGCCTTTCATTAAAAGTAGAATCACGCAAACTTGCTCCCCGTTTTATTGGCCCTTTCCCCATATCCAAAGTCATTAACCCAGTTTCTGTCCGTTTATCTCTACCCAAATCCATGAGAATCCACCCATCATTTCATGTATCCAAAATCAAGCCCTTTTTGCCCTCCCGTTTTCACCCCGCCCCAGAAACCCCCCCACCTGCCCGGCTCATTGATGGGGCACCCGCCTACACTGTGCGCCGACTCTTCTGCTCCAGGAGATGGGGCCGAGGAGTCCATTACCTGGTCGACTGGGAGGGATACGGCCCAGAAGAACGTTCTTGGGTCCCCTCCCGTCACGTCATTGACAAGTCCCTCATCAGGGACTTCTATCGCCTTCACCCAGACCAACCTCGGGGCGCGTCAGGTGCCGCACCTTAAGGGGGGGATCTGTCACAGTTTACACTCTGTTTTTTTCCTTTTTTCATCACTCTGTTCACTGTTTGACTTTTTCGTCTCTGCTCTCCTGGGTTTTTCCTCTGCTGCTTCCACCAGCCTCTTTACATGCCACGCCCCTCTCTCTGATTGCTGCTGATGGTTTCCACCTGTTTCTGGGTGTACTTCCTGCTTTCTCCACTACATTGCCAGATCAACTGCTTGCTTCCAGCCACAGTTATCCAGCGTACTCTCTTTGTTCACAGCTCTTTATTCTTGATCCACGCCTGTTTCCCTCGACCATGCTTTTTGCCTGTCCCTTTTGAGCCTCAGCCTTCTGACCTTGTTGACGACCTATGCCTGTTTTTGGATTTCGCCTTTGCCTCTCCCTATCGGTACTGTCTCCTCTTCTGATCCCGTGTATGAACCCTGCTCATCCTTGACTATGCCTCTGGATTTCCCTTGGTCTCTGCAGCTCTGTGTCTCCGCTGGAGCGCCCTGTTACAACAAGAAAGGTTAGTGTTTCATCAGACCGTCTGTATTCAGATAACTTCTCGATATTCTGTCAAACACTAATCTTTCCCCTCTGTATCATTTTAGATACAGTTCCTGCCCCTGGACCTGAGACACAAGAAGCTGTTTATTTACTCAATAAACATTTTAAAAACCTTTGAGTCTGTGTGTAAGACCCTCTGCCATCAGATCTATGACAGCTCCGTTAATTTATTTTTAATCTTCACTAATTTAAAAAATATATAAATTTTTTTATACATAAAATGTTTTTAAAAATTGTTTCCATCCTCTGTCCCAGACCCATCCCTGTCCGCTCGTCTGCCGGGACTTGAAGTCCAGCCTTTGTGAGCATGCGAGGCCAGGGCACGGACCCCAGCCTTGCACACTTCAATGGGTCGGCAGCTCGTATGATCCTCCGCGGTGGTTAGCTCGCTCTGAATTTTGTCGTCAGTCACCAAACACTAAAAACACCTGAATTTCAACATTAGACCACGGTGTTGTCATTATAGTTTTTAAAATCTTAAAAATAGGTCCAGCCGCTGCTCCAAGTTCAAGTAATTGCAAATGGTGGATTGGTATGTTTCTCAAGAACCAGTGACGACTCCTCCCCCTGACCAATCAGTGACTGACAGTGTTCTGACGTCACGTTTTTGTGCCATTTCGGCTTGCTTGGTACCCCAGAGAAGAAGGGACTGAAAAAGGGGCCAGTTCCACAAAAAATTGCAAGTGGAAAAATACTTGGAACCGTACCGAGCCATGTCGAATCATGCTGAAGAGGAGCTATGGAAAAGGGGCATTAGTTTGGTCTGGTTTTTCATGCAGCCGTGAACAACACAACAGGTACCTGAACTCAGCAAGGCTATTATAGTAAACTTTATGGTTGTTAAATAAATGTGAACAAAACAAAAACAGTGTTTCATCTGCTAAACTGAATGCAAATTACTTTCAAATAAACCACGGTCCATGCTCTGCTACCATGGTTAACCAATGCTTACTGCTACTTCCTGTGTTTGACAGGAAGTTGTACTCATAATCATTTAGACAGTAGAGCTCCCAGGAATAAGGTGGATAAATGGACATATTCTATAAAGGCAGCGTGACTAACCTTGGTGCCACTGAAAACTTTGTTGGCAATATTTCTGCAGGTTTCCACAACTCCATCACCATTCAACTCGAGGGCGATGACAGGACCTGGAGTAGTGACATATGAAGGCAACAGTACATCATCTGTCCCAACATCCACAGCTAATCTATGTTTACCATCAAATATTTTGCTTTATACAGTTTGCTACAAAAAAGCAACAGAAATTAGACAATTTTAAAGTAATACTGAATGATACTGATGCAGCTAAAGCCTAAAGGTCTAACATATAACTAGGTCTAATTCCATAATTCCCGGTGTATAAGCCGCTACCTTTTCTCACACTTTGTACCCCGCGTTTTATATGCAGGAGCGGCTAATTTATTTATTTTTGTCATAATTTTCATAATGTATATTTTTATATTTTAGTTTGAAAGACTTCCTGTAGTCTCTTGGCAGATCCTGCCACTGACCAACATTTTGCTTTGACAGAGCTGGGCTGCTGCCTTGGTTGTCCTCAGGCTGTTTCTGTGAGTAGTAAGCGGGACATCTGGCCTAAAACAGCGATTCCCAACCTGGGGGGCTCGACCCCCAATGGAGGGGGGGGGGCAGAGAGCACGGGGGGCTCGCATAATGTGTCTGCTCAGAGGTTAGAGGTTGCAAAAATATCAATTTATTGTCTGTGTAATAACTTTAGAAAATATGATTTTATTTTTAATTATAATGTTTGAAATTTCACCAAATTCTGATTAACACTGAAGAACCGTCATTTTGGTTATGTTTTAAGAGTTTTCTATAAAGTATTATGTTAAAAAACTACAATCTGTACTGTCACTTTAAGAGCACTTTGATAGGATGTCAGTACTATGCATGGCTCTCAAGAAGAAGGTAGGACGTTTTTGTTGTTCTTGGTTAAGCTCACGTTTTATTAAATATATAACAAAGTAAGCACATGCAGTTGTGAATGTTTAAATGTGTTAAAACACACAAAAGAGTCATTTTTCTGACAACATACCGGTAAGTACATTTTTCCCTAGTTTAGAACAGACATTGTTATGCGACAGCTGTGGGGTTTCTCCATGTGCTTATCCACTAACGGGAATTCTGACTTGTGTGTGTGTGTGTGTGCGTGCGTGCGTGTGTGTAAAAGGTTGACTAGTGATACAAGTCCAGGGTGACAGTAAAAAACATTAATGGTATACACCTTTTGCTTCTGTATATAAAAAAAATTCCCATAATAATAATAATTAATGCCATATAACTTTTTTGGGAAAAAAAAGACAAGTTACCAAAAGATACACACCAGTGCCTCTCTGGATGTACTGGTTGGATACACACTCAATGAAAATGATGTCCTGTGCTTGTGGTGTGAGCCGTGACCCTTGATGCTGAAGCAAGTCTCGTCTGGTCAGTAAGACTTTACTAAACAGAAAATATGTCTGAGAAATGCAAAAGTAACACGGATTTACCCTCTTCAAAAAAAGAAAACAAGACAATACCTCAACAGTTACCTTGAATTCGGATTAGTGGTGTAACGGTACACGTGGATGTATTGAACTGTCTCAGTACAGCATGTTCGGTCCACGAGCGTACTGTTTCGGTTATTTTTTCACTCATTAAAATTTATCAACGAGTGATTATGCACCGCGGAACTAAAGTTCCTAAGCGTGTTTCAGCACGGTGCTATCATCTTGTAGCACGCGTAGTATTAGCATTATCATGTCGTTGCGGCCTCCTGTTTGGGAACATTGTGTGTTTCTGGTTAAAAGACAAGTGAACAAATCAAAGCTGTGGGTCGACGTTGTTTCATGGAGAGTGGATCTGCAGCAGCAACACGTCCAACTTGTTAACAACTTGAAACGACATCATCCGAACATGAACGTCTCTTCTAGCAGCTTGTTGCAAAGACCGATAACAGCAGCATTTAAACAACTTTTATCAGGTAATTCAGATCGGTCCAGATCAATAACACAAGTTGCAGGAGTTTTTAAAACTCTGGATCTACATTTATGTTGTTGATGCGCCGACTTTAAAGTTATTGAGCTCCACTACGACATCCCATCACATCAACAC